CATACACACACAAGTGCAAATACTAACATAGGTAGTTAGCACTTTAATTTCCAAAAAAAGAGATAGAGATCAGACAAAACTTTTCAAAAAATCCAATGAACTGCGTATCAAAACTACAACAGACAAAAAATGTCCTGTTTTCTAACTCCTACAGTTTTCCTTTTCCTTCTTAATTCATCCCTACACTTTTTCCACTCATCCCACTTATACGGTAACAAAACAAAAAAGATCGGTTGAAAAAGAAGACTAGAAGAATGACACCAAGAACTTCTTAACCGCTAAAAAAAGTGACAGCAAACTGTCTAAAAGTAGATCGACAACTAAATTCTAACGGACAAAGCAGTTTTAGATGCTCCGCCAATTAAACCCTTCCAGTCATCTAACAAGCCAATTAATGCCGAAATATCAATGGCGTCATTGGTGGCTTTCATCCTTTCCAATGCTTTACCAACAGTTAGCAAAATAAGCGATGTTCAGAAGGTAGAAATTCTAAATTTAGTATGCAAAACAAAATAAGCAAAACAATAACTCGAAACGGCACATTTTTTCTGTACTAGAAAAAGTCAACTGGCATTTCTACTCTCAAAAAATTAAATTTGTAGACCTCTTCCGATAAACATTTCCAATTTTCCCTCTAATTTTTGAAGTAATCATCATGTTCTCTACACCACTAACATTTTCCAGAACCGTAAAATACCAAATGTTTTAAACCTTATGAAAAAAAAATAATAATGTAATTTAACTACTTTAAAAATATGTATTACTATAAAAAAATCTACCATTTTTTAAAAAAAAAATTGTGAAAACAAAATGAAAAACAGCAATAAAAGCAAAATTCTTAACAAAAGATTGACGTGGTCATCAATAAAAAGTATCATAGAACTTATATAATCAATGTTGCACGAGGAAAATGAGACCATCAATTAACTTCTGTCCCGTAAAAAACTTTCTTCTTTGAACAGTTGATGAATGTGAAAGATGTTTGTCAACAGTCCTGAACGAAATATGCAAAAAAAAAAAAAAATAAATAGATTAAACTCACTTAAAAGATCTTAAGACACAAATGCAAATAAAATCGAACCTGTCCAGGTCTTAAAAAAGCACGCACTTTTTGCAACAATAACAAGTATCAAAGCACTGCATATGAAGAAAAATTGTTTTTACTTTTTTTTTTGGTCAGAGCTTTAAAAATTCTCGATGCTTTTGCTCAGAAAAAAAACAAAATACACTACGGCAGTTGCCGATCAAATCAAATGTCAAAGCCAATAACGTTCTAAAACATATACAAATGTTTAACCAAATAATTAAGCTAACTGCAACGATTACTTTCTGTCACTCACAGAGCCATTTCTCCACAGCGCTGTGCGAAAAAATTTTACCAAACTAATAAATTAAACAGCATACCGCGCGATTCCGCCATAGTCCAAACAAATCCGAAACAACATAATTTGACGATGACTCGGAACTTTCACTTAAGTTCTAATTTCCTAACCTTTCACTCATCTTGGCAAAGACAAAAAAAGTACCTTTCTGCCATTTTTATAAGTCACTAAATACACCAAACAACATCTCCTGCCGATACCCCACCTGACCGTTAGTTTTCTTCGAAAACAAAAAACCTTTGCCAGAAACACTAATCCCTCCAAATGACACTTCTAGATTTTTTCTGAGAAGCAAAATAGGCTAATAAGTTCAGTTTTATTCGTGGTTACATTTGCAATCTGCAACGCATTAAAATACTGCTCAAGAGAAGGTCACTATACGAAGCGCAGAGACCGGCAAACCACTTCGACAAAAGATAGAAACTGAAGTGGAATTTCTTGTGCGTTGTCAATGCCAGTGACGTCTTGAAAAGTAAAAAACGGCGATTAAAAAAATGATTGAATAAAACAAGTTGAAAAGTGAATCTGCAGCAACAACCAACTCTGCAGGTTAATTACAAATGTCTTGAATGACTGAACTTCGGTTTTGCAACAAAATATAGATGTAACTAGAAGCACTTAACTGCCCATTAGGAAAAATATAATTCTAGTTGGTACCCCTCCTGTGAATTTAGCAAGAGAATAAAGCGGATTAATACCAACACCACCTTTTAAACACTAAATACCGATAATAAAAATATATCTTCAAGTCCTCGAGTCCACTCCAATACTATTTAAAAAAAACCTTTTAACACTACGTCTAGGCATTTCGCAACCCCAGAGAGCTACAAAACCGTTGCCTAAAAATGCCGACAGACCGACACTGCGACTTTAAGCACAAAATCACTTTCTCAGACAAAAAAATTTGTTTAGATCAAACTGTTAAAAGCAATGGAATAATTATGAGTAAAACCTCAAAACTCCTGTTCTCAAATCTTTCACTGAACATTATCGAACACTGGTCAAACAACACACTTCTTTTTATCAAAATCCTCCACAGTATTCAGATGCTGCAACAACTCAAAACCCAGTAAATGATTACCTTTACTGAATAAACTGCAGAACGAAAAACCTAAAAACTATTTAGAGAAATAACAGCAATACATAATTAAAACAGTCACAGTTATTCCACTACCCTCTTGCATTGCAAGCAAAAAAAATTACAGTAAAGAAATATCAATCCATAGAAAGAAGAAAAAGTGGTAAAACAAAATGTGTAACACTAATTTTTCAGTTTTTTCAAAATAAAGCCCTCCTAATATTGAAGTGAGAACAGAAGTCGCTCATAGCTACTGAAAATGCAATAATTTGTTTCCCAAAGTCTTTTCGTGACATTCAAAACCAATCATGCCGAATAAACCACTCAACTAAACGAAGACACATATCCCAGAAAATTTCCAACGAAACAAAGCACTGTTTGAAACCGTCCCACTGTCAACAATATCTCTGACTAATTTTAAACTAAACACTTCCATTAGAAGTTTGTTGACAGCAACATGAGATTACAAATCGTAATAAACTGCTGACAAGCAGGAAATCTCAATAGAAAGCTAAATTCGAACCAAACAGCTGCACTCGCATACGGATGAGCCAGGTAAAGTCTGATAGCGACAAACTCGTAATTTGAATGCTTAGCAATTGTATAATACAAACAAAAGAAATCTATGAATAAGTGGTAACAGCGATTAATTCTCGACCAACGCTTCAAAGCAATTT